CATATCTTAAATAAATTATAATAAATATATATATTTGAAAAATATGTAAATTCGTCACAGAATTTTGAATTAATTTACTTCATATTAATTAAAATTTTAATAATCAATAATAATACATATTTAATTACTAAATAATAATAATTATTATTATTAATTTTAATTTTGTGGGTATGTTAAATAAATTAAATTATAATATTTATTATAGAAAATATACATTAATTTTACTACAAAATTTCAACTAAAAGTTTTAGTATTAATTTAATAATCAATAATAAATAATTGACAAAAATAAAATAAAAAAAGTTGACTTTCTGATACCACAATCATCAAAAATTGCGTCTCTAAATTAATATTAAAAAATAATATCGACAATACAGTGCATTGGTATGTTAAAATTTAACTATTAAATTAAATGGGTAGGGGAAGTTTCTGACGCAAGGATTGCATTGGAAATTTCCAACACAATTATTTTCACTGAAAATTTTCAATGCAAGCATTTGCGCTCCAAATTCTAACGTAATTTTTGCGTTGGAAATTTCTGATAAAATTTGCGTCAAAAGTTTTCAACGCAGCTTGCGTCAGAAGAAAGACCAAAAAAATAAAAAAAAATTAATAAATTGCTTATTGACGAAAGCTACATCTATAAATAATATCTTGCACCGGAAACTTATGAGTTTTTTTGTCAAAAATTTTCATTTGCATTGAAACTCGTGAGTTTTTTTGTCAGAATTTTTCATTTGCATTGAAAAATTGCACAAATGTCGTTTGTGGAAATCTTTTTCCAATGCAATTTGCAACGAAAATTACCGACCCAAAAAATTTTGCGTTGATATTTTTTTTTCCGATGGCCCTTTTTTAAACAAAATTTTTGCATTGACTGTGGCATCAGTTTATCTTTCTTCAACTCAATTTCAGTTCTTACCAATGCATTTTTTGTGTCGATAATGGCACATTTTCTAGTAATGCAACAATGAATTTATAAGTACATATACTTCTGATTTAGTAACATTTCATTGCTTTTTGAATACCTTGCTCTATAATATTATGTATCACCTTTTAAATGCAAACTTTGAAATGTTTTTATCCTTATATAAATGCAATGGCATATATTATTTTTTGTGTATGTTCAAGTTCATATGTGGTAGGTAGGAGTAATTTTCTCATTTGAAGTGAGAAATTGCTCATTTCTTTTACCTATTTATTAAAATAGGTCTGATGATGTTAGCTTGTATAATCCAATTTCTAACAACTGTTTCTTTTTCGGACTTTTTGTTTTCTTTCATTTCTTTCCTTCTTCTACCAATACTGTGCTGATAACATGCTTTGTCGGTGGCAAAAACTACTCCTCCACTTTGGGGTAGGTTTAATGAAGTATTAAAAAATGGGCATAAAAAAACTCGAAATTATATAAATTAACTATATCAAACATAACTTTAGCCCGTTTCAAATCTGGTTAAACCCAAATCACCCTCGTTCAAGGGTAATCAAACAGACCAAAGTTCTATAGAATTTTTGTTAAAGATATTTCAATGAGTTTACAAGGGTTCTCTCTCTCTCTCTCTCTCTCTCAATCCCAGCCATGTGTAATTCATTTGTGTTGGGAAAATCATTCTCATTCTGAAATAAAAAAGTCAAATCATATAAATAACCACAAAATTACAATTAAATTACACTAAACCATTTTTATCTATTTCATTTGTGTCATGTGGGAAATCCACTCCAAAAAAATTATAATAATAAAGAAACTGATTTGTCAAACTAGTGCAACCTCATGTAATTTCATCAGGTTGGCCATAGCTTCAAGTTATCTACGCACCTACCAATTAATTCCTATGTCCTTAACTTTTATTAACTTCTAATCTAACCATTTCCAAATTTAGAAAGTATTGCATATATATATATATATATATAATTATCAATGTAAATATTTAATGTGATAAGTTAAAAAGATTTAAACTTATACAGAAAAACTAAAAATCAAATTGGTTGAAAGAGTTGTTTAGTATTAGAGTTTCTTTAATTTGAATTTTTTGTGACATTATAAAAATATTATATTAATTTATTTAAAAATAAATTTTTGTGAGAAAACCTCAATATCAAATTTATCATGAAATTGATTTTTTAAAATATTTTAGAATTTTTTATTTTTTTCTACTTCATAACAAATTTCAATTTACAAAAAAACTAACTTTGATGTTGACATTTTTAATACCAACCTGACACCCCTGGAATAATTTTAAAAGAACAAAGAAAGATAAGTGACTCTGTCAGATTAAGTAGCTGTTAAGACAGTTTATTTAATTTTTTAAAATAAATTTTTCAGAAGTTGATTTTTCAGAAATTATTCTATACTAGTTTTGAAAATAATTAAAAATTTATTTTTAAATAATTTTTAAAAATTTATCAAAACACTCTAAAATACATCAAAAGTACTTTTAAAAAAAAATTAAACAAACCCAACCTTGATTTGAAATAAACTTTGCAGTAGTTGATAGGTCTTGCTCAAAGGTACCTGTTAGGAATTACGACCAATAAAATTATGACAAGCTTATTAAGCAAGAGTCAGAGAAGCCGACGTGAGCACGGAAAAGCGACTTTTGACTTGCTATTAGTTATTGGGTCACTGATCCGTACCACCAAATGCCCCCACCCGCTCCGACCCAACCACCCCCTCCCTCCCGGTTCCCCCGAACCACTTCTGAGCAAACCTATAATTTACAAGTGGTTGGACATAAGCGTCAGCTTCCACGCATGGCGCATGTAAATATTGATTAAATAATAACCAAAATATAAAAATAAACTAACGAGTTAATAATTTTAAGGGATTATATATAACAAATACAAAGTTTTTGGATATTTAAATAAATTAATATAACAAAAAAAACTAATTTGGTTTCAAGAGCGAAACCAATGTATTAAGAAATATTTGTATATGTGATTTTTAAAATTCTTAAAGTTTAAGTATTATTTAATTTATAATTTTAGAAAAAAAATATAAATTAGGATATATAAAACCCATAATTTTTTAGATGGTATAAATTTTACTCAAAATTAATTTTAATCATATATTAAAAATATTTATATAATAATTTAATTGATAATTAATATTTAAAATAGCAAAATAAGATATACAATTATGTAGCTGACACAATATGATTGGGAAAAAATATAAATTGAGTTAAGCAGACAATGAAAATAGCATGGATTTAGAAGCCCTCACAAATTAGAGAATTTCACATTACACATCTTTTTTTATAGGAGCTTAGAGGGACCAATTTCGAAATTAAAGAATTGATATGACTTTGTCTTTAAGTTTTACCAAAATTGTGATGTTTACACAATTTCATCTTATCTTGTGTCTTTTAAGTTTGTCAAACAAATTTTATATCTTAAATTTGAGTTTATTGGTAAATCTTTTGGGTGGCAAGGGCAAAACTGTCTAGTTGAGGTAAACGTTAGAGACACATGTACCCTTCATGTATCTAAAAATATTAAATTATCATCATTTACATGCAAATATTCAAAAATTTACAGATATTAAAAAAAATAATTGAATCTTTCTAAAAAAGGAAAAAGAATTAACCTCTATCAAACTCAGTGACTAAGCTTGCTTTATGCTTTATTTAACTTGAGATGCACTTTATGCCAACATGGAAGGACAACAAATTATAAAATATTTCGGTAAAACTACAATTTTGGCACCGTAGATTTATTCAAATTTCATTTTGGTCCAATGGTTTCAATTACAATACATTAGTTTTATAACTTTGAGGTTGATATTCTGTTGTAATTATTTTTTGAGCAGAATTAATTTTTTAAGATTTGATCTCATAATTTAAAATAAAAAATAATAAGTTATAATGAGATAAAAATTTGTTCATCTGCAAGTAGGGTAAAAAATAAGATTAAAGAATAAAGGAAATAAGAAGGTACCAAGAAAAGGTGAATTAAATTGTGGGAGAGATAATTTAATGAGTGTGGGTAAATATAAAAGAACAATTACTTATATGTAGAAATAGACTGAATTTAGTTCCTTAAAAATGCACATTTTGGAGAAACAACCATGCACCCTACAGAGAATTAGTTTTAGTACAGTAGACTGAATTTAATTTCTTAAAAACGCATAATTGGAGAGAGGCAACCATGCATCTTACATTGAATTCGTTTTAATATAGTAAAATGGGTGAAAATATATTTTTAAAAGATAAAAAAAAATTAGAGGAGACCAAATAAGGTGAAATAAGATATGCTGAAGTGTATATATTTTTATATTATATTTTGTTAATTTCGTTTCATATTCCTATCCCCTCTGTTCACATTCTTTTCTTTATTTGCACTTTTGTCCTTGAAACTTAGGATTGTTTCAAAGCGGAACCATCATTCATGGATGAAATACTGAAAACTATTTCCACTGTAAACAATTTTCTAACCCATGGATCACCTCTGTTCTCTTGGTACTTCAGAATAGATTATAACTCAAAGACGATATCGAATTGGACACCATCACCAATCTCCATCACCTACACTGGTTCTGTGGTATTATCAAATACAGAAAAAAGGAAGTCTAGATTCTTCTTCTTTCCAAACAAACTACTTAATCATGGGATATCTAAGATTGATCGAAATAAAATTCTACCATTTATTAACTACTACAATACATCCAATTTTTTTCTAATTTTTAAAATTTTATGACTAAATGTGTTATAATTAAAAATTATTGGCATCAAATAAATTTTAAGTAAAACTATGGGGACTAAAATTGTAAATTTTCTCCTAGGAAATGATGAGATTAATATATAGGGATGGTATAACTAAACCAATTTGCACGTTGGTTGAAAATGGTTGTGTTTTCAAAATCAAATGTTTCTCATTCCCTGTTTGGTTGGACTTGGAGCTTCGTGTCTTTAAATCACACCTTCTCTATCTCTCTCTTTCTCTCTCTATCTCAGAACGACTGCTCCTCTCCCCCTCTCTCTCTTCCTCTCCTTCTTTTTGTAAAAATGAAGAGCAACGTAAACAACAACACCAAGCTCATCCTTCTTCCATACATACAGAAACAGGGTACCTCCAACCGCCTTTGGCTTATTCTGGCCTTCATCTCCCTCTTCACCGTGGCCTTTCTGCTCACCCTCGTCTACACCCGCCAGTCCTCGCCACCACCGTCACCGCGGCGGCGTCATCTGTGGCCGCCGCAGGCGGATCGTCCGCCGGAAACCCCGCAGGCGATTTCGGAGGCGGTGGTGAAGGCGCTCATTCATTATGCTTCGAATTCCAACAGGACCGACCGCATGCCCGCTGGCGACATCAAGCCGATCGTCGACGTGCTCCGGCAGTGCACTTCGCCGTGCAACTTCCTCGTATTCGGGATTACACAAGAGATGCTCCTTTGGCGGGCTCTTAACCACCATGGTCGCACCGTCTTCATCGACGAGAACAGGTAGTTTAGGCTTCTAGCTAGATCACTAAAACCCATTGAAACGATTGATAGTTTTCTTAGAACTATTACAAATCTGAAAGCAATTTTTTCAATGATGCCTCATTTAAATTCACTTTGCATCCTTGCACTTTGAGATTCTTTCATGTTATCCCTGGAACTTCTAATGTTATCAGTCGAAACCTCTCACTTCTTGTTAAATTTGCAATTTGAAATTTTGTATTTCATTAAGTTGTTGCTTCGTACTTAA